GGGCCGCTTACCGCTCGCTGCACTTGTTAGCAGCACGCTGGACTCGCCATCCAGAGGTCGCCGGTTACATTCCACCTCCTGGGTGTCGCACTTCCAACACGGGCACGTTTCTCAATCGCCCCCTCTCCCTTCCAGCCTCTGTCCACCCACGAGTAGAAGTAGAGTTTGCTCGAGTGGAGGGATGCCCTTCCGCCAGCAGTGGCATGAGCAATCAATTGCGGGGCTGCCCCCTTTATCTCTAGAGGTGGTGAGATTTTAACTAACTCGCCTCATATACAGAGGGATCATGAGTTCGATTCTGACCTTTGACCCCTGTATGCATGGAGTTTTTGGTGTCTTCCTCTCTCCCTGTGGTAACGTGGATTTTTCTCTGGGTCCTCTGGGTTTTCCCCTCCACGTTTAGAATCAACATCAGCCGCTCAGAGTATCTGGCTGCTATATAGATAGTCCACACGATGGAGCACTTCGTTGAGCTATCTTCGTGGCAAGGTCGCTTTATGAAAAGAGCTACGTAGCTCCGTGGGGCTTACCTGGAAAAATACAAATAATATATATAAGTTAGTTATTTGGTTTTAGTCAGAGTGTGATCTCATCCCCCACTGAACACGGTGGTGAATGGCTCCGTGACAGTGATTGTGCCCTCCACAGGGCATATCAAAACAGCCATTTGTGTGGCACCGACCGGGCTGATCAAATTTTCTGATTTCGTTTTCAACGCTCCACAGTAACCCACGCACACGCAGAGCCTCAAAGGCAGCCAGCCACTCTCCCGCGTCGGGTGTGCAGAGCGAGCGACTCGCGGCTGGCGAGACTGCGGTGTCACCAACTCCTTAAGATCCTCAGAAACGTCACGAGATGCGCAACTGCTAAATTTGTCCCAAAAACAATTGTCACGAGGCAATGTAGCGAGTGTCACGCAGAGTCCACCGACACAGAGCCCGTTCGCACCAAACCTGCGACCGCCAATAAATCCGCATCTTATTCTCGTGCCAGAAACTCGCTCGACGTTGGGTTCCATGGCATGGCGTGTCCAGCACGAGCCCCTGGCGCCAGGCATGACAATGCCCTCTCTCCCTAGCCTGGCACCTGGGCCACTCCAACGCATGGTGTCACTGCCGATGTAACTCAACAGCCACTCAAACCGCTTCCCCGCTTTGGGCAAATTTCGTGTGCCCATTTCTCGCCATCAGCAACGATGTTTGCTGCAGACGTGGCTTGTTTTGGCTTTTCCCGCAAGATTTAATAAACTTTTGTGGCCCGTTAGCGAGTACATGTGAAGGTTGGCACGGCACACGAGGGAGTGGGGGGGGGTCAGCTTCACGCCCGGCCGTCTTTGTTTTCCCCGATGCTGATTATAGACCGCAGCAGGCGCTAAAATTAAAGGGAGGCCCAGGACCGTTTAGAATTAGATGTTTGTCGCCGATGTTGGCTGTGAGTGGGAATCGAACTCGTGTCGCCGGGTTCCTATCAACAATGCAAAACTCACACGCGCATACACAAACACACATCGAGAACTCGCACGTACACACACTCACACACGCGCTGACACGACACATACTCCACTTTTAAATTCCAGGCCTGTCAACAGCTCTCCTATTCAAAATCAAGGTCACATTCTGGCGGAAGCCAGAACCACGCGTCCCCGTCCTGTTGTTGTTCAGTGTTGCCCAATATATTTTAAAAACTGAAAGCACGTTGGAATATTATTTGCATAATTGGCAGCCGGGTTGAATGGTGGCGCAGAGGTTCGCACATTGGGTCCGTGCACCACGGAGAGCACTGTTGGAGGGTTAACATCTGTATCACCTTCTTGGTTCTTTCGGTAAAGTCACGTAGAAGGGAAATAATAAAAGAATAAAAAATACAACATAATAAAATACAACTCTCACGACGTTTCGGCCACAACGCAAGCAGCCGTCCTCAGGTGAAGAACAGGTCATCAGACGCTGTCTTTCCGACAGGTCATCAGACGCTGTCTTTCCGACAGACCTGTTCTTCACCTGAGGACGGCTGCTTGTGTTGTGGCCGAAACGTCGTGAGAATTGTATTTTGTTATGTTTATTTTTATTATTTTATTATTTCCCTTCTACGTGACTTTTCCGAAAGAACCAAGAAGATGAATCCCTGCAGTCACAAAGCTTTAAATCGAAATCTGTATCACCCTCCCCCAGACCTGCCCTTCACCAAACCCCCGGTGAGGTATGGTCAAACAACCCCCCCCCCCCCATGACCAACACGGCATGGGGAGGCCTTCATCCAGAAGTAGACTCACAAATTATTGTCAATGATGTTTGCATTATTAACATACAGAGCACTACAGAGAACACACCAGCCTGCATAGACTGCAGGCTAAACGGGTGTTTTTGCGAGCACCTATTAAGGCCGGCACAGCGCTTGTATGAATGGGCGAGTACCATGGATGTACAGTCACCTTTGTCTCCCCAGCTGCTGACGATAACACTACTTTACCGAGTGCTTGTTTTAGGCTGAGTTAACCTAGGGGAGACCAGAATTGACCTTAGATATCATTTGACAGTGCAATCTGCAAGTTCAGCAAAAACACATTCCCCAATAGCAAAAAAATTATTTTAAACTACAAATATTACAGGGGCCAGTGCTGTTAGCGAGCACACACAGTAAGGGTGGGGCAGCACTCGAAGAAGCGGTGTGGCCAGCACCACTATCGACCGCCTTTGTCTCCCCAGTGCTGTCGTCCCCTATGCACCACACCAGGTTCTCATTTAAGGCTGAGTCGACCTAGGGGGGAAGCCTACGGCTGGTTCAGATTATTGTCGCCGATATTGGTCGTGAGTGCAAATCAAACCCAGGTGGCCGGGGTGCGTAGCGCAGTGCGCTACGCACTGTGCGTGCCGCTCCCCAGACACAAAGACAAAGCTCAACCCGGATAGCCTTTGACATACTGTTTAGGGACAAGTGCTGTTAGCGAGCACCGACCGATGAAGGCTGGAACGGCGCACGAGGGGGTGGGTGGGCCAGGCAACCACGTCCGGCCGCCTTTGTCTCCCCAGTAGCGATGTTTACACATTTGAAGCTGAGTCGACCTAGGGGAGGCCCAGGACCGCTCCCCATGCACACACACACACGAGTACAGTACACACATCCCACAGAGTCCTGCTCGTGTGATTGATCCAGCTATGTGCACAATATATCCTCCCGCTTGTGTCTCCGCTAACAGGAAATTACTTCCACATTTATTTCCGAATGGATATCGTTCAACCAACCAACGTATCCCCCCCCCCCCCCAGTTCTCCACTGGGGCCCTCATTCGGTTAAAGTTTTTGGTCAGCAATCCGTTTCAAATTCGAGACGCCCCCATGCAAGCTGCGGTTATTTTCCTAATTGTTTTGGGAAAGAAATAATATTTAACTTTCCACACCACCACCCAAAAAAAAATATTTACGCGATGGAAAACAGTTTGTAACGTCGGTCGAATTTGTTTATAAGGGGCCGTCCATAAATGACGTCACGCACCTAGGGGGGAGGGGGGGGTCAGACATTTGTGACGATGTGTGACGAGGTGGGGAGGGTTTGAGAAATGTGACGTCACATCAAAAATGCGCAACTTTAAATAAATATAGACAACACGTTCTAAATTTCGATTTAAAGCTTTCTACACACGTTCTACTTAATGTTCTACTTAATTAAATAGACTTCTACTTAATTAAATCGACTTTCTAATACATGTTTTCTCCTACAACATCAGAGTGCAGCGCCACACTAAATACGCACCACAATGACAATAGTTTAAAGCGATTTGAAGCATGTTTTATTTTATGGAGGGGAGGGGGGCCAGAGCTTTGTGACGTCATACTTGATGGGGGGGGTCTGACTTTTTCTGACGCCGTGTGACGAGGGGGGGGGGGGAGTCAAAAATCATCCAAAATCGCGTGACGTCATTTATGGACGATCCCCTAAGATACAGCACGTGCTTTTGGTAGCTCGCTGGCTACAAGAGGTCAGAGCGTTGAGCCGGCGACGCTGAGAATTCGCGGATTCGTGTCCACGTGTCAGCCACTGCTCGTTGTTAAAACGGGGTTGTCGATTTTGGTGAGTTTGATGGGTCACTGCCAGGGCCGTGAAACAACGCACGCGAAATATATCATTACATTCGGTTAAACGATAACATTTGGCTCAACGTCCGGTTCTGAGAATTACAAAAACGTCCGTGTGTCATGCAGTGCCAAATGTCTCGCCGTAGCAGGGCGTGAGAGAAAGTGAATCTGATCAAGTGGCCTCTGGCCTCAGATGTGAGAAGGGATCTCAAAAGTGGCTCTGTGAAATCCCCTTCCGAGGGCGCTTCCTTCACGTGCAGTGATGCGCTGCTTCCTCCGGGAGATTGATTCTTTATCTCACGCCTGATGTTGATAGCACAATCGTGATAATATTTGGGGAAAACACGCAGTCGAATGACTGGGCCATCGCCCGGCTATTTATAGGTGTGCGCGTGTGCGCACACGATTCTTTTGTCATTCCAATTCTGGAGGAGGGCCTGACATTTGGGGGTTTTTTTTCCCCCACATACTTCACCATGACGTGGACCCACAGAAGTATAATACAACAATTGGCTCGGATCTACTGGACTGCCCTCTGATGCCCACCCACCACGTAGCATTGCAGCCGCCCGCAGCAGTGCGGCGGTGAGTGGGCGCAGCGCTAATGACCCGGTGGCCCGAGTTTTATTCAGCGACCGATATCTCAACCGGTCCTGAGCCTTCCCTAGGTCGACTCAGCCGTAAGTGTGGTGTGTAAATATCAACAGCACTGGGGGAGGCAAAGGCGGTCCGGGCGTGGTGCTGACCTACCTACCCCTTATTTGTGTGCCGTGCCGGCCTTCATAGGTGCTCACTAACAGCGCTCGCCCCAAAAAAGTCTGTTAAGGCTATACAGGGAATCCTTGTCTTTGTCACGAGTATACGTAATGTACGTGCGTGTGCTTACACGTGTGTGTGTGTGCGCGTGTTTGTTTTACTTCCACTCAGCCTGACTCTCCAGGCCTGCGGAGGATGGACGGGGTTGCCATGGATACCGCGGAGAGTGTCAGCACCGTCCAGAAGAAATCGCAGCAAGTGGTGCAGATACAGGTACCCAGGCACGGCACGAGCAAGGCAAAGACCCCCCCCCCCCCCATAGCCTTCGGCAGACTGCCGAGGCAAGATACTCTTAGTTCTTTCGGTAAAGTCACGTAGGTAAAAAATGAAATTAAAATGAATAAAAATAAAAACAATAAAATCACGACGTTTCGGAGGCAACACAAGCTTCCGTCTTCAGGTGAAACTGTCACAGCAAAAAATCTGTATCAAGTGGAGAGAAGTCCCAAGAGGTACGGACCTTATATACTGGTTAGGGGGGGAGGAGCCAGGAAGGGCCGCGGGAGAGGAGGAGTTGTGAGATGGTCAGTACTGCTGCTGGAACTGAGCCTTTGTAATGTAGATGGCATATGTAGATAAGTCAGCTAGGATTAAGCCGCCTTTTGTTATGCTGCTGCCGAGGCAAGAAGTCGCGCGAAGGGTCAAAGCGGCACGCGACAGGGTGTTGGGGTGGTCAGCAACCACGTCCAACCGCTCTTGCCCCAACAGCCCGTCTGAGACTATACAGGGCAGCTTTGTTGTGTGTGTATGTGTGTGACTGTGTGTGTGTATGTGTGTGTGTATGTGTGTGTGGGGAGCGGTGGTGTAGCGGTTAGCGTGCTGCGCTTTGAACCCGGCAGCCCGGGTTTGATTCCCGCTCACGGCCAACACCAGCCCATTCGCACTGCAGGCTGACTCCCCTGCCATTACCTCCCGTGGCCACCAGTCCACTCACACTGCAGGCTGACTCCTCTGTCATTACCTCCCGTGGCCACTAGTCCATTCTCACTGCAGGCTGACTCCCCTGTCATTACCTCCCGTGGCCACCAGTCCACTCACACTGCAGGCTGACTCCTCTGTCATTACCTCCCGTGTCCACCAGTCCATTTACATTGCAGGCTGACTCCCCTATCATTACCTCCCATAGCCACCAGTCCATTCGCACTGCAGGCTCACTCCCCTGTCATTACCTCCCATGGCCACTAGTCCATTCTCACTGCAGGCTGACTCCCCTGTCATTACCTCCCGTGGCCACCAGTCCACTCACACTGCAGGCTGACTCCTCTGTCATTACCTCCCGTGTCCACCAGTCCATTTACACTGCAGGCTGACTCCCCTATCATTACCTCCCATAGCCACCAGTCCATTCGCACTGCAGGCTCACTCCCCTGTCATTACTTCCCGTGGCCACCAGTCCATTCGCACTGCAGGCTGACTCCTCCGTCATTACACTAGTACAGCACACCGGTGTGTTGGAGAGCAAATCCGCAACATTTACCATCAGAGTACGACGTTGCACGTGCGATGTACATACAGTAGGTGCCTGTGTATGTTCACGAATCCTGCAACAACAACTAACCTTCTGTGAAGGGTGCGTGCGCCAGGCTAGGTTCACAAATACCGTTTGCCACTTTGTATGCGTGGCCAAGAGCGAGACGCGTGGATCGGCTTGCCAGGATTGCGACACGGGCCCCCGTTCTCCGAGTCTCCCTGTTCAGGGCTAAAAATGGGATCTTTGTGTGACGCTGACCGCAGCGCGTACAACTCTGTTCCAAAAACACGCAATGACTCAGGGTGGCTTCAGTTGAACCGCCAAACAAGGTGGTGAATGTTCGAACGTAGAATCAACATTTTTTTTTTTACCGAAACTTTAGTGGCCGTGGTGGTGGGAGGGGAGGGAGGGTTCCACAGTCGTTTAGAGGCACAGTAAATCATTGATGATGATGATGACCAGATTTTTGTAAATCCAAAGCTGGATGTACACAACCTCCTCCACGACGTGTCGGTCAAAGGGGTTGTTTGACCATACTTCACCTCACTGGTCAGGGGGAGGAGCCCAGGACCAGTTAATTAACGTATGTCCCACCACGTATTCGCAAATGTATTGAATTTCCTTTAATATAACGGGAGGATGTGCTTCTCTCGCTCTGTTACGTGTCGTATTGCTGTTGAAGTATGGGAATTGACGGCAGGAACTTCTTGACGGGTAACACACTTTTATTAAATCCTTTAGGTATCACAATACACCGTGTGGTCTCTCTTCTTCCTCCGACACACTCCACTAATCTCGTGTAAGCTCTAGGCCTCTGGCTACACCCGATACACTGGACTCGTGTAGACCCTATGCCTCTGGCTACACACAATATACTCGACTCGTGTAAGCCCTATGCCTCTGGCTACACAATACACTCGACTCGTGTAAGCCCTATGCCTCTGGCTACACAATACACTCGACTCGTGTAAGCCCTATGCCCTGGCTACACATAGTACATTCGGCTCGTGTAGACCTATGGCTACACCCACTACACTCGCCTCTGGGTTACACAGAGTCCCGGTCCCCTTAGGACAGCGGGGCTAGGTACCGCAGGGCTCTAGGTCTTCATCCCCGTCTTCCTTCTTCGCTGGTTACACACTGCCCTTACGCCTGTGTGCATCCCCTTTTATAGCCCCTGCTCACGAGGGACGGAGCTGATGCGGCGTCGACGTGAGCGTCGTTCCTTAATGACCCAATCACGACGCACTCTCTCTCAGCGCGTCACCGCCCACAGCCAATCGGTACCCCGTAACCCACGACCCCGCGCTGACCCCTGATCCTCCACCGTCAGCGCGCGTCACCACCTACACAGCCAATCATCACGCACTGTGCATACGATCCTTAATCCCAGCGCGTATCACCTCTACATCACCCCCTCCCACATAGCTTGCAGCCGGCCCGGCTGTTAACCTACAACACAACATAACGCAACGCAGTAATAAAGAACTCCACATCCCAGTGTGCCCCGTAACACAACAACAACAACATAACACAACCTTAAATATGAAGCAATATACAGCCCGACGAACAACACAATAAAAGCGAACACCGTAAAACGAACGCGCCAAGTGTCACTGTGACCCACGCAGTGCCGAGGCGCTCCGGCTGCCTCGACTCCGCACGTGGTAGGTTACACAAAGTAGCGCGACCTAGCGCGAGTCCGTCTGGCCGGTCCGTCGTATGGAACGGGACGTTGGCGACCGTCCGGTGTCTCCGGCAGCTCTAGACGGCACGGGTCGGGCCTGGAAGGACCGGCCCCGCCGTGAAGATCCGGCCGCCGGTGGTCGGCAGCAGTCAGTTCCGAGACACCTGGGAGCGGATCAGGCGGAGACATGTGAGGAGCAGGCAAGGACAATTCCCCCTCAGGGTCGTCGGTCACGTCACATGCTCGGCCCTCACGACACAAGGGGAGGCCATACGGAGGCGAGAACGGTTTCAGTCGGGAGGGGTGGACGTACCAACGGCGTTTCCCCCATTTTATCTGAACGCACTGGGGGCGTGCCACCCGCACGACCTCCACGGGTCCCCGCCACGGCTTCAACAATTTAGGCGACGTGGCCAAAGGTGCCTGAGGGCAATGCAGCCAGGCCTTGTCACCTGGTTCCCAATTGTGCACGGACACCTTCCGTGCCCGCAACCGCTCGTTCGCAATTTGGCGAGCCCGCGAATTAAGCCGTGCGGCCTCCCTTGCCTCTGTCAGTTTATGAATATTAAATTTAATATGCTCTGCCAATTTAGAATTAGTTCGTGGTGCGGGCAGACCCAGCTGCGTTTCCATGGGCGGGTCGGCTTCCCGACCGTACATTAGAAAAAACGGGGAAAACCCCGTAGCTGCATGGGGGGCCATTCTATACGCGGCAAGGACCCCAGGGACCTGCAGGTCCCAATCAACATGCGACTCACACACCTGCTGGCACAGCATAGAGGTCAATGTCCTGTTAAGCCTCTCCACCATCCCGTCCGTCTGCGGGTGGTACGGGGAGGTACGCACCTTTTTGGTACCCAACAGGTCGCACACCTCCTGCAGTAATTTACTCGAAAAATTTTTCCCTTGGTCAGTCAGCAAGCGTTCGGGAGCCCCCTTGTCCAGGACGTAGCCCTGGACAAAGGCGTCCGTCACAGCCGCCGCCGACTGGTTGGCGAGTGGCCACGCCATAGGCCACCGGGTAAAATATTCGACCCCCACCAACAGGTACTTATTACCCCTAGGCGTGACCGGAAAGGGCCCCAGAATATCGAGTGCAACGAGCTCGTTAGTGCGCGAGACCTGAATAGATTGCAGCGGTGGATTAGCTGCCACGGGCGGTGGTTTCCGTCTGGCGCACTCAACACAACCCTTCAGAATATTCACCACGTCACCCCCCATTCCCGGCCAATAATAGTCACGCTGAAGCAGGGCAAGCGTTTTGTTAACTCCCAAATGCAAGAGGCGTTCGTGTGCGGCCAAGACAACCTTCCCCCTCACAGCAGAAGGCACCACAATCGCATGCCGCCGGGACAAACTGTCCCATCTCATCAACAGGCCCTGCTTAAGCTCGTAGGAGCCAGTTCGGTCGTGGCTACCTTCGGAACCCTCCGTCTTTCGGCGCAATGCCAGCAGGGAGCTGTCCGCCATTTGGAGACGGCCCCACTCAATCAACGACAGTGAGAGCAGCGAGTCCTGACCCCCTGGGGTAGCGGGACCATCCCCAATTGGTGTGCTCGCGGTCGCAACCAACGCCTCCCTACCTTCCGTAACCGGAGGTTTACAGCGCGCCGATCCCGATAAGCACGCACATTTGTGACAAGGCAACAACCGCGACAGGGCATCGGCATTCGTGTGTCGCAACCCTTTACGGTACGTAGTTGTGAACTGATAGTCCTGGAGGACTTCCAACCACCGCGACAATTGGCCCGAGGGCTGGGCAACCCGTAATGAATACTGGAGCGCCGCATGGTCCGTCCGGACCGTGAAATGACGACCATAGAGATATGGCCTGAATTGTTGTACAAAAAAAACAATGGCAAGTAGTTCACGACGGGTGACGCAGTAGCGCTGCTCTGCCGGCGACAACACCCTGCTACCATAGGCGACCACCCGTTCGACCCCTCCAACGACTTGGGACAGCACTCCCCCAATGCCCGTGTTGCTAGCATCCGTGTCTAGCAAGAAGGGACTCTCAAAGTCTGGATAGCACAAGGGTGGGGCCCTTACCAAGGC